GTCATTAAATGATCAAAGCAGTTTTAACAAACTACTTGTACTAACTGATTGCTAACTCTAAACCAACTTTATTTCTTACAGAGGGGAAAATATGAACTTCCCAAGTGGCTGTCTCCTAGTAGTACACTACTTCTCCACCAAATGTTGCAGGTAAATAATTGGTTCTAGTTAGACAAGTTTTTACTTTAGCTAATGGATAGTATTATAGTATTGATGTTGACCCAAAATGTATAAATGCACTGTTTTAGTTCTTCAAAGTCTTTCAAGCGAAAGTAGCTTGTCCCACTAAAAAAGATGTATTCACATAACATTGCACAATATAGTCAAAATCCTGGTTAACGTTAAGGTTGTCATCTAGGATCCATTAAGCTCTCTCTTTTTTTTTTTAGGGGATGGTAACATTGCCATGTAACAATGGCTTGCCATTAACTTATATCAAGCTAGATTTATCAAATATAATTTAGCTGGGCCACATCTAACCAAGGTGCTAAATGCCAAACACTTTCAGCTACTGTCAAAATAGAGGCTTCCTTAACTGAGCTTCATGGCCAAACTGAGATTTTTAGGCAAAGGATGAATTTTGCCATCCTCCTTTACCTTGCAGGGTTGTTTGACCACTGCAGTCTTTCCTGCCCAGAGCATTCCAGCCCTAAACTTCTGTGAATCTTTGAACAGTAACTGCAGTTACCACTTTGCAAAATATTGATTGATTTCTGATTGCCCACTAGGTGGACCCAAAGAAGCGAATAACAGTTAAACATCTACTGAATCACCCTTGGCTGATGCAGGGTTACTCCTATACAGTTCCATGGCAGAGTAAATACCCAGTAAGTAAACTACCTAGAAAAGGACTAGACCAGGGTTGGCCAACCTGCAGCATGGGTGCCACAACTAATGGCACAGACGTGCCTCTAGCATGAGCACATCTGGGAGGGCACAGTCAGTACAGTGGCAGATAGGGCAGGGAGCAAAAAGCTGAGCAGGAAATTGGGTAGAAGAAAGATTAGAGTGCCCTTTGGAGAGCATGGGGCTAATTTGTAGCATGCCTGCCAAAAATGTTGCTCCCCACTGGACTAGATTTTCTGCAAGTGTGCCTTTATTGAATCAGTTGCATGTATAGGAGGGGGATGTCATTTTGTGCACCCCTGCAGGAGCCAGGATCAAATTTTTCCCCTTAAATGTGTTGTTTGGCTTGTTTTTAATGTGTGGTCTTCATGTTTTAATTCTTCTGAAGTCTTGGACAATGGCCAGAGCAAGGGGTTGGGGAAACTGGCTGGGCTATGCTGGTACTTCTAGTGGTACTGAAAAACTTCTTGGGTCCCTGAATGATGAGCTTTACTGACATGCTCAGAGTTATCGCAATTACTGGAGTTGATGTCAGGAAGGAATTTTCCCCCAGGTCAGATTGGTAGAAAATATTAGGGGTTTTAGCCTTCCTCTGTAGCACAGGCCATGGTCTGCTTCTCAGCATCATGTAAGCATACCAGTATTTTACTTTAAATTTCCTGCTGTTGTAGTGGCTATGCCATTGTTGGTGCTTTGCTCGCTTCCTATTGCATTGTGAATTTCTTACTGAACTGTTGTGCTGTGTATGAGGGCTTAGTAAGGATGATCTTGCTGACCCTTTTGGACAAATGTTTATTACATGGTTACCTGTGACCACAGAGGACTGGACTAAAGGCCATGGGAGGTTTGTAGCTTCCTGTGGCAGTAAAGCTTTAAGTTTGAATTAAATTTCAAATAAGTCTTTCTAAAAAAAAAAAAAAAAAAAATCCAAATATGATAGCTACAAAATTTGATGCTATGTTTATTAATTTGAAAAATAACTATGGTCTCATTTTCAAAATATCAAAAGTTGGATTTTTTTCACGTAGATGGACAGTTAAATTCAATGCTGGCAATGTTGTCAACCAGCTACAGTGTTACTTTTATTGAAAATTGGGTACATGTGCCCTTCAGAACATTTCTGACATGCCTTGTATTAGGATTTAGAATAGTTACCTAATGATACAATAGAATCCCAACTTCTTGTAAGCTGTTATTTAGGATAAAACCTTACTGAAGACTTCTTATTTAAGGAGCGTTCTAGAAAACCTCTCTTCACCAAAACTAGAAAAAAATTGGGCCTGAACAAAAGTGAAGATCCAGCAAAAATTGGGAACAGGTGTTAGGAAAATATTTAGTTATGTACTCCCAGTGCCTCTCTTTGGCCATTGGGTGTCATTGTTTCTCTACATAAAGGCTTTTGTTTTGCTTTGTTTTACTGTACATGACATCAGTTCAAACTTGCATTAGATTGTGTATGTAAATGTTAAGCTGTCTCACTCAATTACTGATCTAGAAATTTTTAAAGACTTCTTATATATCTCAAACTTGTTCTTTACAGCTTGGACATCTTGATGAAGACTGCATAACAGAACTTTCAGTGTTTCATAAACGCAGCAGACGAAGTATGGCTGAGTTGATTTCGGAGGTAAGTGACTTGCAGTTGCAGCTTGAGCTTTTTTAAGTTAAATAGGCATTAGCTGATCCCAGTGCTCCTGTGTATGAAGCGTAACACTCTAGGAATAAACAGTTCCTTTAGAATCTAAATACAAATTGCAAACTAGCTATATTCTTAAAAATCAAATTTTGATACTTTTTTCCTTTTGCGTTGTGTTCCTTGAGTCTTCTAAACAGTGAAATCAGTAATCACAATACCAGTGTTGTACTCAAAGTTTCTTGGGTCAAAAGATGCTCTAAGTGTGTAGTGGCTCTTGCATATTTGTAACTGTTGTAATAATACTATGTTTACACTCCAATAATGTAGGGAAGTTGATAAGTTCTCAACAGGAGAACTCAAATGCAATGTTGAATAGACAGCGGAGAAGCAGCTTCCTGGTGCTTCCAAATAAGTGGAAAAACAAACTATTCTATCATTCACTAGTAAAAGTAGCTTATAATGAATCATATTCATGACTGACATGTTTTTAGAAAACAATCTAGATCAGGGTTGCTTAACTTCCAGCTTGCAGGCAAATGCAGCCCACCAAGACACTGGGTCAGGAAACTTGGCAGTGGGAGAGTGGTGGCCATTAATATGGCCATATTCCCCCTGCCAAATTCCCAAACCTTAAGCCCATTGGTAGGACCTGCTTAAATCAGTTTTTTGCAACTTTTGTGGAAACCATGAAAAATGGTGATCTCTGCAATTGGCTGCCTCTTTGTTCCTCTGCCAATCAGTGCCATGGGGCACAACTGCATGAAGGGCAGTCAGAAGTCAAAATGGTGGCCTCTCCCTCTTCTCGCCTTCCCCAGGGGCCTCTCTACCAATCAGCACTGAGGTGGGGGCCTCTCAAAAAATACTTGTGAAATTGGCTCTGTACACAGCAAGTGGGCTGCAAAAATTGCTTTGTCTCGCTACAAATTAGGTCCCTACCCATTGATGCTGAGCCAGGCCATGCCCCCTTCCCTCACCCTATGGGACCAGGCCACACCACTTTTCCCTGCAGGGTTGCATTGGGGCTGGCCTGCAGCCCTGCCCCCTGTTCCCCTCTATACAGCCAGATGGCGCCCACTAGGCTTTCCTAGGTGCTGGGTCATGAACACCAGCCTGTGGACAGACTGCTGCCTATCCATCCTGCCATGCAAAAAGGTTGAACACCAGTGATCTAGATGAATTTCACTAACTTAATGGTTTGGGCTTTCAATCTAAGAATACTGTGACTTCTTTGATCTAAGAGTGGCTAAAACAGCAGTTCTCAAACAGGGATCTGAGAGCAGGTTTCATGGGGTCTGTGCTTCCCCCACCTCCCCCTGGGATAGACCACAGTCTGACGGGACCATTGACCAAGCCATGGCAGCGGGTTAGTGCCAGAGCCCGGTGTAGGAGTGGGTGGTGGTGGAAGGAGGTGAGAGCAGTGTGCCCCCTTCCACCCCCTCCCCCCAGTCTCTTACTCCTTGTGCTGCTGGCATGGGGTTCTTGGCAGTAGCAACAGGTCTGGCCACTCTGCTCTACTCTCTTGGGCCAGGTCCTGCCCACTGGCCTATGTAGCATGCCTCATCTGAATTTGTAGTATGACATATCAAGGGAACAAGAGTTGCTGGCTAATGCTGCGACTTTGCTTTATAGCTACTTATGAAATGACTATAGATAATTTTCTTGTTGGCAGTTTTTAACATCTGACTGTAGCTAAAGTTAATGGCTTATTTAACCCAGGTTATAATATTGTTCTTACCCAGTACTTGGAGGATTTCAAATCTCATAAAACTAATTGAAGGCTAAACACCGCATTGTGGTGAGCCCACATTGTGAGAGGCTGGAAGCACCATACCTGTTTCTATGATGAGGAGGGAGTGGAGAGACAGAGGGGAGGGGCTGCAGAACAGCAAAAAGTAAAAGCAGATTGATGTTTCCTATTCAAAATGGAACTCCAATTGAAGTCTATGGAACTTTAGTTGAAGCTTATTGAAATGCATGGATTACAGTAGCTCCTCTAGACTCCTTAGTGTCTGATCACACTAGAATACTTCCTTTTTCACATGGTGGGTAATAAAAATGAAATTTAAGCCAAGTATTTTAACATTACTCTTAAATAGTATTCTGAAATTTCTCTTGGTTTTTAGTGGAAATACGATCAAATGTCAGCAACTTATCTTTTGCTTCACTCTAAGAAAACTCATGGTAAGCCTGTTCGTCTCAGATTTCAGTTTCCAGCAGTAGAAAGCACTTGTATCACACCATCCAGCGAATTAAAGGTAAGCTTTTGACTTCTCCTGTACAGTGTTAATGGAATGTGGTGTTTTCACTCTCATCAGCTAAGGTGCCATGCAAACGGAACATGTGTAAAACCTAACTGTTTTGGCCTAAGATGGTCTACATGGGTATAAAATAAATAAAATATCTCTTAATGATAGAGGACTGAAACAACCAAAGGCAATCAATAAAACCACAACTTAAAACCATAATTTAGAGTAGCAATTTAATTGCCCAAGCTTTCCTTTTTTCATGGCTAAAGCCTGGTAGAGAGAAGAAAAAAAAATCCTCTCCTCAGTGCAGGTGAGCTATTTTACTTCTACTTGGGGGAGCAGACTGATTCATCTGGTTTCTCCAAAGAAAAGGGTTGGTTTCCCCAGTGAGTAGATCACACTTGATAGAAGTAACTGAAGTATTAAACATCCTCTTCACAAAGGGCCTCCCTGCATATTTATGCACAGCAACAGATGGAAGATGTTTTAGTCAGCTGGTATTCTGAAACTTCTCTTGTGGTGTAGCTTGTAAGTTGGTGGGCAAAAAAATTGTCCAGGCTTGTCCAGAATCTATGGATATGCCTGGAACTCTGCTACATGATATGGGCTTATGACCCTCTTACCAAAAACTCCTCCAGTTATTTAATTCTTAGCTAAACAGTCTTCTGAGGCAAAGGAGAATGTGAGCTTCTCTGTCTCAAGATCTTGGTACAAGAAACCATTTTTGAAGTTTTACGGTCTCTAACCTGGCCTACTTCCTAACGAGATGATAATGCAGCTATCCTCTGAAAGTCTTAATTTCTTGACATGTCATTCAGGTTTTATGTTGACATATTTCCTGAAGACTCCACTGTCTAATGGAGAAAAGGGAGCTATCTGTGCTGGTTTCTCTTGCTCAGTAAGCAGCCTTGAATAATGTTGACCTGAGATTTTGCAGCTCTGCAAGCCTTGAAAAGACAAGTTGTTCCTTGTCAAATGCCAGTGTTGGACTATTCAACTGTCAGATTTTACCTTGCCTGTCTGAGATCTAGGGTATAGCTAAGAGCAGGGATAGGGCCCAGTGTAAGGGCTTCTGCATCTTGTCAGTCTTGCCTAGGGTTTCCTTTGAAAACTACTGTTGGTTAATTTAGTAGCTAGGGTGCATCAAAAATGGGGGATCCAGAAATACTTGCTTCAACCTGACATTTGAAATTCTTGTTGTTTGACCTTTACCTCCATGTCAGATCTCTAGTTTGTGTTCAGTTTTCTGTTGACAAACACTAGGAAGCTCCAAAAGCTGTAGAATGCAATGGTCCACTTACTCATAGAGCTGTATTACACCAGTACCCAAGCACTGAACTCTGGTGCGCCTATATTTTTGATCAAATACCATAATCTGGATGATGTGCATGTTTGGGTCCCGAGAAAGTATATACTATCTTTACTATATACTATTGGAGCAGCCTATTTCAACTGTTTCAAAATGCCCCCTGGATTTAATTAAAATGTCTAGCCAGATATGGATGTTTAAGACTTCGGCTTTATTTGTCCCTCTGGTTTTTAGTCTGATGCATTTGATCTCAAGACCTATATAAATAGTGGTGGTAGGCTGTTTTCAGATGGTCCGTTCTCTTTCTATCCCCATAAAGGCATGTTAACTTGCATTGCTTACCTGTTACTCCTACTAGAAATAATACTTCAGGCTCCAAGCTGTTAGCTTTTTTTGATGTCCAGCTTATACTTGTGGAAGGGGTCTTCCTGGATAGATCTTCCCCTCTAAAAGAGAACCCTTGCCTTTTTGCTCTTTTCTGATACCTCTGGACGTGGTTTTTATGGTGCCAAATTTCCACTAGGTTACTTCATTGGTATGAATTCACATACATCAGTGATTAAGTTGGTCACTTTCCCCAAAACTACTCTAAACCAAAAACTGCTAAGTAAAAGGGATATTACCAGTTCAGGATAATATGGTGTTCATGGCTGAACAATAAACTTCAGGGCTATAGACCTTAAATGCTGAGTGCTTCAAGTGAGAGGAACAGTGGGGGGAGAAAAAACCTTCCTCATACCAGGTCACTCCCTTTCAGCATCCACTCTGTTTTACCCTACATAAGAATTGCTGCTTACTGGGTTAGACCATAGGTCAGTCCATCTCATCTAGTATCCTGCATCAGTGACAATGTGAAGTCTAATCTCTAGGTTGTTGGACTACATGTAAAGATATTGCAGTGTTTCTTGATTAAAATATAACTTGATCCTATACTGCTTGTGAGGGCTGACCTCAAATTCAGTTCTGGGCACCTTTTACTAAAGTTGCTTTCAGCCATGAACTAGGAATTAAGAGCTACAAATATTAGTGAAGATCAAGAATTGCAAACCAAATGAGTATAATTTATAGATAATTACAGCTGCCCTAAGTAAGAACAGCTATAGAAGTAGTCTGTATGACAAATTTTGAGGAAGAGCTTAATTTAGTATTTGGCAGCAAAATGGATAGAATAAATGGTGTTTTCAGCTTGTAGAATGATTTGCTACATTATGAAGGCTTATTTTGGCATAGTTCAAAATCGGACTTGGCAGAACACTATAATTTAAAAATCAATCCTGCATCGATAGGTGGAACTGATTATGCCAAATATTTTGACTTTAAACAAGCTACTGTATTTTCTTGAATCCAAGATAAGGATTTTTTTTGCCATTCAACATTCAGGGGTCAGGGGGGTAACTTTTTTTTCTTGGATTCAAGTAGGCTGGAGGTGGGGCAGGTAGCTGCTTCAGTTCAGGCTGTTTGGGGAGGGAGGTGAGGGGGTACAGCCATACCCTATTCAATTGTGTGGCACATACCAAGAGAGCTCACTATGTATGTGCTCCACAGCTGAAGTGGGGTGTGACTGCATGACTGCACTTCCCCCTACCAGTCTCCTCACAGATTTGCCCCTGGCTATGATATATAGAAAAGGAAAATTTGATCACGAATTTAAAATTCCTGACTTCAGACCAATGGCCCAGTTGTAGTGTTACCATAGCTTTATACTTGTCCTGTGAAAGGGTTCCTAATAGAGGTCACTGATGCATCAGTCCCATATCAAATCAGCACCAATCTGTGCACAGGGTAGTGCTGGGCTCTTCTTGGCACGGGGGCTTGGTAACTTGCTCAGGGTGGGCGGCAGCAGCATTGGGAGAGGGGGGTTGGAAGGGATGCGGCAAATTTTGGGGTGCCTGCAGCTCCCTCTTGTAGTCCCTCTCCCAGCAGTGCCACTGCCTGCCCTGAGCACAGCCCAGACCAGCCCTCTGCCGGGAAAAGTTTGGTGTTGGCCCAGCCCGCAGCAGCAGCCTACCTTTGCCCAATGCGTGGATCCAGATGCATACGCACTCCATGCCTTCCCAGGGTGCATACAGTGGTGGGAGCCACTCCCCAGACAAGCCGATCATGGCTCCATCCTGTGCTCTGCCCCGGGTGTGCAGCCCCTGCCCCAGCACCTCTCCCTCCCTCACCACTGGGACCTCGATCTGCCCCTTCCCCCACACCAGACTTAACAACAGGACATTGCTCTTCACACTGCCTGGCTGCATATCAGAATCAGATTGGTACTGGCCATTATGGCTTGTTAAGACGTTCCTCAGTATTGACCCAAAAAATCTCTATTGCTGCACCCCTAGTTCCTAATCTTTCAGTACTGAAACTGAGCAGAATTTCATGCAACTGAAACAGCAAAGCTGGAGGTAGTATGGCTGGAAGAGTGGAGAAAACACATCCAATTTCTTTTTGTAAGTTGTGGGCCATAGCATAACTATACCAAAGACAATCTGTAAGAGATCTCTGCATGCTGTGGCATGAAAGCAAATTCATCCAAAATCCTCTAGTAGTTGGAAGGATTCTGCATATGTAACTGGGAGAAAATCATATTTTTTTAACAAAGTTTAAAAAAAAAAAAAAAAAAATCCATGCCAAAGGGAAGGCTTTTGTTAACTGCTAATTGAAGCTGTTAGATCTTGAAATATGGAAGAAGGCTAGGTAAGGTCATGATATCTTGTATTGCCTTCATAAGAAGTTATGGAAAACTAATAAATTAGTCACCCTGCTTTATATTTTGCATAGGTCCTCTTTATGGGACTCGTTTTGGGCTGCTGGTCTGCTGCCTTCTCAGCTAAGTAGCTCATAGCTGCTGATGGCTAGAAAATGATATTTAGAAGTTTCATTTTGAGAAATGGCTTGGAGGTAAAGCAGAGATGCATTACAAAAATGGTCCGGGGGAACAGCAAAGGTTAATTGATTTGTAAAAGCCTGTTTGACATGACTTTCCTTCAAGGCCCACTGTCTGACACAGGCAAGCAGATGCACATTCTGGGAAACTGAGAACATGTACCACACTTTTCTATAACATGAGATAAGATAGCATTAGGTTACAGTGCCCAACTGCAGGGTCCTTAAGATTTCTGGTTTTGGTAGATGGACCAAATTAAGAGAAACCCTAAAGCCCAAATTAGGATGTGCATGTGATGGGTTTGTGTAACAAAAGAATGTGCTGACAGGACAGAACATGGACAGTATGATGACCACAAGAAGACCAATCAATGATGCCCAGATATGAAGTCTGCAGAAGGGGGGAAAAGATGCAAAAACAGGGATTATAGAGCAGCAAAGGAGCCCTGAGAAGGGAACCCAAGGCCACCATGAACAGAGGGCATACCACCAGCCTGTCTTGCTCACCCCACTGAGGGAACAGCAGTGGGCCTTGGCCTCTGATCTCCAGGTTGCTAACATCTGACATTCAAGAGAACCTCTGAGTGAAGCTCATGTACTAGCCAGATGTCCCTTAACTCTGTAAACCCTGGGACTGGTAGATATGGAATTGTTTGCATTTATTCTTGTCTGCTATCATGATTATATCAATAAAAATATCAAATGGATAGGTTGTGGTCGGTCTGAGGGTTTGGGTCTTCCTAGAACAAAGTATCTGGGTCATTAATTCTAGTGCCAACAATAGCTTCAGTGAAAAATTGGAGATGGATGCTATTGCTTGTTCATAGAAGCCTAGAGAAATAGGGTTGGAAAGGACCTCATAAGGTCATCTAGTCCAACCCCCTGCTCAAATTGGGATCATTCCAGCCAGGGCTTTGTTGAGCTGGGCCTTAAACCTTCAAGGATGGAGATTCCACCCACCTTTCTAGGTAACCCATTCCAGTACTTCACCACCCTCCTAGTGAGTTTGCTGGAACTTGAGACTATTGGCCATGTCATATATGAGCACAGCAGACCTGTATGCAGAGCCATACACCATACATTCAGGTGTTCCCCATGTTGCAAGGCAGCAGTGTAGGGAGGTTTTTTGACCCTGGGAGATCCCAGGGTCAAAAGCAGGGACAGCATGCACCACCCAAAACTGGAGCTTTGTTGATAGCAGCCCTGTTCCAGCTGCTGGCCAGGCTCCAAGCAGTGGGATTGCTGTGACTGCAGCTCCCTGAGGCCCCCAAAACCCCAGGTAAGGCTGCCGGGGCCATCCTCCCCTAACCCACCCAGGGTAACTTGCCACATGCCCTCTGGTGTATGGCACAGGCATTCCCCAGAGACGAGCAGCAGGAGCTGCTGTTGCTTGTCCCCGGAGAAACAAATGTTCACTCTTGTGGCCAGTGTTGGCTGTTGCTTGATATACAAAGCTGCTTATTAATGTTGCTTTTGGCATAACTTTCAGTATGTTCTTTCTTTAGCATTTTTATTTTCATGGAAGCATGTAATCCATAGAGGGCTGGAAGGTACCTTTAGGAAGTCCTCTAATCCAGTTGCCTCATGGCAGAATCATCCCTATCCAAACATCTCATACAAGTGCTCGTCTAACTATTTCTAAAACTATGTAAACAGGGATACAACTGTCTGTCCTGCCACTGGACACTTGAGAGAAGGAAGAGGGCCATGCACCCTGCTAGAGGAAGGCAAAAACCCTTAGTCAAGGAAAATTTTCCTTTTTGGTCCTAAAAGTTGTGATCGGTCTGAATGTGAGTGTAGGGGCAAGACTTTCTAACCAGTAACCTCTGGATTTTAGACCCAGCAGGAGCACAAATGTGGAGCCCAAAACTGCCCACGGTGCTCTAAATGAGCTCTACCAGCACCAAGGGAAGGGGCACTATTGCCTCCTGTATCATGCTTCTGTTGAAGCTGCCAAAAAAGCTAATGTGGTTTTTGGGCTGCAGTGTCATGCTGTGGACTCGCTGAGTTTGATCCAATCTGCCAAGACCCTGAGATCCTTCCCTGTAGTGCTGTCATCCAGCCAGTTGTCACCCATTTTGTTGTTGGGAGAAGGGGGAGGCATTGATTCTTCCTAAAGTATATCACTTTTGCATTTGTCTGCATTGAACTTCATCCTTTTTGTTCTAGCCCAGCTTTTCAGTCAATCAATATCCTTCTGTATCATGTTCCTGTCCTCCAGTATGTTTGCAGTCCTTCCCAGTTTCATGCTTTCTGCACATTTCTTCAGGAAGGTCTCTATTCCAGCTTCCAAATCATTAATAAACAAGTTGAACAGACCCCTGTGGGACTCCACTCAGCTGCCTGCCATTCTGACATGGATCCATTTGTAATTATTCTTTACTTGCAGATATTGAGCCAATTATCTGTCCACCTTTTGTAGTAGTTTTGTCTAGCCAACATTTCTCCAATTCATTTGAGAAGGTTGTGTGGGACTTTTGAAAGACTTACAGAAGTCTAAGTACTATATCCACTGCATTCCTTTCATCCACCCAAGTAATTACTTTGACAAAGGAGATCAATTTTGGCACAACTTGTTCTTAGCAAACCTATTTTGGCTGCTTAACATGAGCCTTCCCTCCTTCAGATGCTTGCAAGTGGACTTTCTTATGATATGCTCCAGTAACTGCTTGAGTATTGAGTTCAGGTGACTAGTCCAGAGTCTAGTCTTCCTTTTTGTGTCCCTTTTTTAAGGAGTCAGTCCTCAATCTTCCAGTCCTCTGATACTTTGCCTGTCTCCATTACTTGGTAAATGTTATTGCTGAGGGTCTGGTGATCATCTCCGTTAGTTCCACTGTCAATTTGTAATCTAAAAAATGTTAGGGATTATGTGATCTGTATGAGGACTTCAAGTAGCTATTGCCTATAAGTAAAACTTTGAAAAATGATGCTGGAACTGTTAAAATAATGAAGTTTACTTCTAATGAAAACTTTTTCCCTTTTTCAGTGTCAAGTTGGAAACTTAGCTGTGTCTTTCTTTTAAACAGTCTAAAGAAAACCTGACTTGCAGAGATGGGCCAGACTGTAGCAAAGCACCTTATGCACTTGGATCCATAGAGTTTTCAGATCTGTTTTTTGAAGACTCTTCATCTGAAGACTTTGCTCTAAATACACCAAAAGCAAAGCAGGTATTTGAAGAATTAGTGTTTTGTTAGGTGAGATGTCTTGAGCCTAGAAGCTCTTATCTCAAAGTATCTTTTCATTGCATACAACATTTATATTAAAGATCAGTGTAATTGGTGCTGCAGAAGATGCAGTCTCTGGTCAAAGGAACCTATAGTCTTTTTTTGAAGGTCCAATGGCCAAACCAAGTTCTGTTTTGTTTTTGTTTTTTCAATGAGAAATGGAGGACTTGATACTCAAGTTTGGAGAGGTAGTAGAAGGAGGAATCTGGAAGAATGGAATGAGAGAGGCATTCTGAATGGAGTAGGAGGCATAATAATAATCTCCAACAGGGGTATTCAACCTCTGGCCACAGAGCCACCTCATCTGGCCTGCAGGGCTGCCCACAAGTCAGGACATTTTTGGTGGAGGGGGAGCAGTGGCCATTTGATATGGCCATCTCTCCCAAGCCGCACATGCACCCTCTTCCTATACCTAATTAGTCCATGCCCCTTTTTTCATCCCCCCCGCCTCCCCACTTCTGGATTGGGGCCAGACCATAGCCCCTTCTC